CAATTGCTAGCCAAGTTCAGTGACAACTTTCATTTCTGTGGGGACATTGATTTAGAGTAGGTGGGACAGTTTTCTAGCACATGTTTATCACCTTAAGTAACTCTTGAATTAATGTTGTGTCACTAATTCTTGACCTATACCTTGTTCTACACAGTTTTATTTTGAAATCTGTCCCAAGTTCAGATTGTCCACAGTAGGTTCTCTTCTCCAGTTCAAAAGCTTTTTCCTCATCTCAACATTTTCTATTATTAAATTTCTGGAAAGGTAAATTTAACTTTACTTTCCACAGATACTCAAATACATTTTGCAAGACTGAATTCTAGTTTGTATATAAGCAGACCCAGGAAACCTAGAAAAGTCAGATGCTATTCAGCGGACCACATCTTGTATCCCTCAAAGTCAGTGATGCAATTCCCTTTTGTAACTATTAACTCCAGCTTCCTGAGGAGGCAGGGGAAGAGGACACTTGCTAACTTGTGCCCCAGGCTGTTTTCTGCCTGTCTCAGAAGCACAGTGATGACTGCTCAGGTCAGAAACCATCTTGTACCAGCCAACTTTTCTCTGAAGTTGTAGAACATCATCCTTCTGGTCCCACAGTTTTAGGGTGACCAAAGAGCCCTGGGCTGGGCGGGAAAGCAGCTGGGCGGGACAGGCCACTGATGGAAGGAGCAGGTGCTTGAAGCGGGGGTTTGATACTAGCACTGTGTATAAGACACAGTGTCTGACCAGGTCTGAAAGCATCTTGGCAAGTGTTACCATAAATAGGGCCCATCTGCACAAGGCTTCTGGCAACATTTATTTGAGTTGCAAGAGAATAAACATGTAATTTTCCTCTTGTGAAAAATGGATAATGACCTTCAACGCTTCACTAGAAGTGTTCTGCCAGTAACACTTGTGGGAGGAAGAGTTACATATTTGCTTGCCTCATCATCAGTGTGTTTGGTGTCTGCCATGGATTTGAATTGGGATGCTGCTTTTTTCAATTAAAAGGAAGAGGTTTAACCTTTAAAGTGCTGCTTTTTCTTCTCCTAAGAGCAACCAAACTCTTACCAGCATACCAAGCAGGCTTTGCATTTGTACTGGTTTCTGTTCCTTTTCGCTAGTGTTGTTGAATGGTCTCTCCACACTTCGGAAAACACAGGAAAGCCATTAACACTGTCTGGCATGTGCAAGTCTGGCAATGTCACAGTCAGGTATTATTTGGGCTGCTTGTCACAGCTCAGTGACTGTGCATGCCAATGTATTGCTTATAGCAATGGGAGATTTTCCCCTGTCTTTAGCTATACAGACACCAGGACAACGAATAGGGAAATGATTTAAAAACTTGCATGAAGAAAGATGCACTCCTGTGATTAAGAAATATACTGACAAAGGAGAAACGGCAATAGCTTTAATCCAAATCACAGCTGTAGTCAAACAAAAACAGGATGGGAAAGAATGTTTCAGGGAGAGATGATCCAAAAAAATGAGATTGTGTTACTACCAAGAAATACTTTGGTGTGTCCCCTCCAGGAAATATTCCGCCAGTCTCACTCACACACAGAAAGGTCGAGGCAGCTGTCTGAAACAGTACAGCAAGAACCAGAAACATTTCAAAAACTTGAGAGTATTCTAGTGAGGAAGTGCTTATTAGGTTGTGAGCTTGCATCAAATCAAGTACCAGGGAGCAGGGCTGTACAAACTCAGAGCTTTTTGTGTCTGTAGAGCACAAAACATTTTTGTATATGCATATATACACACATCCACATTCTTCCATTAGCATCAGAGCTTGCATTTAAGCAGTGGTAGATCAAAAGCAGATATATGACTTCTCCACCCTCCCCCTTCTAAATGTGGACAGCTGCATCACAGCAGGTGATGGCTAACACAGCAGTGCACACACAGCCAGAGGCATCTGGACAGAAGGGCTTTTGACTGGGGCCCAGTTTCAGAGTGTTTCAGCAAGCAGGTAAAAAACAGCTTGTGTGTGCAACATGATTTATGCAAGGGGCAAATAGACAAATCTATACTAGTTTTCCTGGAGCAGGAACGAGAAAAGCAGTTAAGCCAAGCCAAGTTCTGTTGATTTTTCCTGCTGCTGCATTTGGTACACAGCTACTATCCGTGTCTTCCTTAGGAAGACAAGCACATGCCTGAACAGCACTGGTCACTAAATTAGCCTCTCTCACAATTTGTCTGCCTTACTGTTGACCCTGCTCAAAGCCAACAGGTAGGAGAGAGCACCAAAGAGGCTTGCATCACAGAGATGTGAGTGCAGGGCAGAGACATGGCCAGTCTCTTAGAGAAGGGGAAGAAATAAATGTGATATGATACATAGGAAGAACTTGAAAGGGATTAAGAGTGAGATCAAAAAAGGAACCAGCAATGAGGATTGCTGGAGAATTCAAGAGGGTCCAGGTAAACTTGTTGGAAATGTGATGATTTGCTAGGTGTGAAAACAGTTTGGCTAGACAAAACATTAGAAACTGGTTGCTGTTGAGACCATGATGAAACCTGAGTGGTAGCTACTGGACCATGAAGAAATACTTGGCTGGGGCATGAGGGGAAGAGGGGCACTCCTGTGCAGCTGGTCCAGCTGGTAGACCTGTCAGAAGTAGTTTCTCACTCAGAGTAAAATTGAGGGGACAGATAAATGAGAGGGCTTGGCAAAAAAAATTGGCTTCTTAAGTCACAAACAGTCTGGACCCTCTGCTGCAGGTCTTGGGTTCCTCATCTTTCACCTGGCCCCAGGAATATGCTTTGCAGCCTGCAAAGCACTTGACAAAGAAATCTCCCCGCAAGGGCAGAGGGGGTTACGGTAGGAGGTGGGGGAAAAGGTAGAGAAAGGTTTTATCTATACTGTTTCGAGTTTATGCTTTGAACTAGGCTCAGAGCATTCCAACCCACAGTGCCTGGAGTAAAACAAGGAGGCAAGCTGTAATATTCATTAACAGGTCGATCAGAGCTCACAGGAGGTTTTTTTTTTTACTCCTATTGCTGCAATACTTCTAAAGAAATGGAAAGGGAGATTAGTTGAGGGGGAAATGCAGTGTACTCTGTGAGACAGCAGGGACATGGCAGCTGGCAGCTTGCTGGAGCTCAATTAGCATTAGCAGCCTGGCGAATGCATAAGCAGGCCAGGGAAGGTGGAGGTTGGGCCAGAAACAGGCTCCTTGCTCTGCCAAGAAACAGGCCATGGAGAAGCAAGGAGATATAGGCCCCTGTCTGTGCTGGCCTAGCCAGAATGGCGTCTGACAAGCAACATGATCAGGTACTTCAGTGGCTAGAGGTCATATCAGCAAGGAGTCTTAAAACTGTGGTGGTTTAGAGAATATCCCAAAAGCTGATGCCTGTAGAGAGAAGCTCATAGAAGAATCTGGATGTAGAAGTGATTGTGAACCTTTGTAGCTATAACCCATGTTGTGATACTGAAGAATTGATATATGTGGTCAGGGAAGGGACACTACATTCTCCTGTGGCTCAGCTAGGAGTGATGACCCCTTTAAAGCCACCCACCTTTAAGGAAATCATTCTTAGAGTGTGTTTGGTCTTCTACTCTCCCTTAAGGCTCCCTAACTTCTCCTAGTAATCAGAAAGCATTTAGACCAAGAGGAAAACATTTCAGGAGACTTTTCTCAAGTTGCCAGGGAAATCCACTGCTGGCCAAGCCACTAAATCACCCATCTTTTCTGGATGGAGACAGCACTCCCTTACTGAAGTATGGGAGAAACTATCGTACCTCCTGACAAGATAGGGGAACCTTAGTGCCAAGTTGCCAAGTTCTTGGACATGAAGGAGCAATCAGGCTCTGAGTGTTTTTGCTGGGAGTAACAAAGATATCTGGTGTGTGCTGTATCTCTCCTACACTTAAAACAAATTCATGGATTTGCAGCATATTCTCGCTGGATTTACAATGAGTTTGTGAAGTGAGTTTTATCACTGTAAAAATACACAGATGTAACAACAAAATCTGCAAATGCTTATTAGACTCTCTGATAAAGCACAGTGAGACAAGAGTCCTGTTGCCATAACAAGCTGTAATTACAGCAGGGCTGTTGCTCAGGTCTCCCTATTTTGAAGGACCTTGTCCTGCCATGCTCTGCTAAAAGTTGCTGGCTGCAGTTGATGAGATTCAGTGGTGAAAGGGAATTTAAGCAGGGATGGATGCTGGTGCATCACAACCAACACACCATGATCCTTTTTTCCCTTGCTCTGTGCTCTTGTGAATAGCTACATTGTTTTATGGATCTGAAGAATGAGGCATGGGACTGTGAAAGGAATTAGGTCAAAAACCTCACGAAACAGTGCCCAGAATATAAAAGGAAACTGCACTGCAGTATGAGGCTCCTTGGTGTGTGCCGAGATGATTGTGCATGTTTCTCTAGTGACCTTAGAAATGGAGCAAAGCAGCACTAGCAAAGTCAGAAATTTTTAACATCCTTACAGGAAAGGCACTGTGTTGTAGTGGAGTGCTGTACAAGTGCTACCTCACTAGGCTGAAACTCTTCAAGAGTAGTTTTTAAAACAGCCTAAAGTTAAGCTTCCAGCTCCATGCACAGTAGCCTGAATTTTCCAAATGGGTTGGGAAAAAGAAAAAAAAGCAATCAATATATGTTAATCCTCTTAGTGTTCGAAGTTCAGAGTAGCAAAGGCATTCTTTCCTGTGAGAAACCCCTACTGAAACAACTTGTGTTTGAAAGTCTTCCCTCTTCTTTTGCTCCTTCCACTCTCTAGACCCGTCATCACAGGCAAGCTACTCCTTATGCGTTTGTTTCTTTGTGTTGTCTCTATCCCATCCCTTGCCTGGCCGACAGTAGGAGGAAAACACATCATATACAGGATGAATATTTCTAAACCACATGTGCTTTATTTTGGGAAATAGACAAAATGGGATGTTTAATTTGCATATAGCAGTCACATATGGCCACACATGCAGCATGATTGAAGTGAAATATTAATAACGGTGAGCACTTATGTTCACAGACAGAGGAATGCACACCTTTGCATTCCTAGTTCCAGTACTAAGCAGATGCTTCAGCTAGCTTCCTAGCTTCCATTTCCTGCTTAGCCTTTTCTCTCATCTCTCTTTCTCTCTCAATGAGAAGCACTTGCTCTTCTTCCCACTCCTTCAGCTTCTGCTCATGTTTGGCAATGTCTTCCACTTCACATGCTGGCAGCTTTTCCTTGACAAGTTGGGTGGTCAGGGTTAACAGACTTTCAGATTCAACCTTGCCAAGTGAATGCAGCTTGGAGTACAGCTCCTGTCATAAAAAGAGATTTGGTAGGGAGTGTGAAGGAGAGAGCCACTCAATCACAAAATAATCAGCCACAAAATACTTCCCTATAGCCAATACATCACTGTTTGCATTATTATTATTATTATTATTATTAGCTGGGCTATACAGGCCTGGTAACTATCACAGCAAAGTGTCTGAACTGTGGTAATTGGTACTATTTCTTGAAATGCTATTATCAAGGGGTTTTTTTGAGCAACAAAATTAAATCAATGAAATTTCAGTTTCATTAACCACTGGAAATCTGGTTTTTTCCAAGTTCATTTATTTGATATTAACAAAGATCAGCTGACCAGTCAACCACAATAAATACAATTTAAACACTTTGGTTTTGTGTCTTAACTACAAAACCAGTTGGATGATTTGATCCACACTGCCTGCATTAGCATCCCTCTCAACAGATGCATGTCATTTCAAATGTTTTAACAGTATACTGCGTAACTCCCATAGTTTTTCTTCCTAAGTTACTGTTATCCGAAGGGTGACTATGCTTACAGAAGCTACATGACACTCTTAAGTGATATTTTTTTCGAGGAGAGTCTACACAGAAACTAAGAGCAGAGTAACTCAGCAAGAAACTGCAGCTTTTCTTTCTCGAGCTTTACTTATCTATATTTCATGCAGCATAAATATGTTAATTCACTTAAGATGATGAATCATCCAGTGATACTGTTTCTGGCTTTCTGGAATCTTTACCCTGATGGCTCACTAACACTCTGATTAATTGCCTTAAAAGTGCAGCTACACAACCAAAGAGGAGATGACATGGCACTGGAAAATTCTCTATCCCTTGTTCACTCATTAGTTAGAAACATATTTTCCTGATTATTCTTTTAAATAAAAGACTTTACTAAGCCCAGCACTTGCAGAAATGTTTAAAGTAAGTATGCATTCTAAAGAAAGGTACATCCATACTTCTTTAACTTGTATAAAACTTCTTGTTTTGCATTAAAGGATAATGGAAAGAAGATACGGGAATCATTTCATCTCCAAACAAAATGGCAGTTCTAGAGCCATGCAGATATCCACACTTCCAGCTATACCTGAAAGCTTATGCACTGTGCTGCTGGCCCATAGTGTTCCTTTCACCAGAGTCCATGCTGACAATAATCAGCAAAGGGACTTCTTCTCAGCTCCTGGCTGAAGGCTCTGCCTTGTTCTTAGGGAGGAAACTAGCATATCCCTTCTGAGGCCTCTCCACTTCTCTCTCCCTTAGCAAGCACAACTGCAGGCTTTGTTGTGTTTTACCAGGCCCTTGAAGGTTTGAACTGGACAGAGAGCAGATTAAAGACTTTAAAACGCTAGACATGCAGGTCTGAGGGGCTTGGTATTTGGCTCTGTCTGGGTTTTTAATTTTATGATAAAATTTTAAGAATAAAACCAAAGTCAATGTCTTCAAAGCTAATGGACTAAAATCAAATCCAATAAACTTATTTAGGTGTATTAGTCTCTATTTTGTTTGAGGTATCAGTAAGTAAGTATACAAGGCATCAATGAGAAAAGTGAAGAGACAGTTCGGCTTGGGCTTGGGAAAGGAACTTGACAAGTATGCTCATGTTTACAGACTAGATATGCAGTTTAAATGTAATTGGTTTAGATCCTTCAGACTCTTACTGTCAGACTCTGCCAAGGATGTGCTGAAAAGGGGCTTTATGCACTGAACTTCAACAGTATGAAACTGAACTACAGAAAGGCAACAAACTGGAAACTGGTAGGTGGTGTCTCTTAAGCCATTACTGATATCACTGAACTTCTGGAACATTCCCTGCTCTTCTGAGATATATTAGTAAAACTAATTTAGGAAAGCAGAAGGCTGTTATGTCCTGAAGGTACCAAAAGGGCACATTCTTAAGTGGCTAAATCACTGACTTTTATAAGCAGTCTCCAGGGCTCTGCATGCAGACAGTTAGGGAAGGTGTTCCCAGTGTTTATGTGAAATGTTTACCCACTGATCATTGACACAGATAGAAGGAATTGCCTGAGGAGCAGTGTACTGAGTAGTCTCAGCATACAGGATCTGAAAACAGGTAATTACAACACAGTGTCTAGATTACAGCTCTAAAGGCTTTATCTGGAAAGAGCCAAATGCCCTCAAGTTCTGTTTGTTTTAGTGGAAGTGAAGGACATGTATCCATATCTGTTAGGTTGCCATGGTTTTTTCAGGTACTTCCACAAATAGCTCTTCTGAAGGTTGGAATGAGACACTGAGTCCATTCCATAGAATATAATGGAGGAGTATATGTATGTCTGGAGCAAATCCATATGCTTTTCCTTGTATTCTGAGATGTACGACTTGTGAAAGAGAACTGGGCGTGCAGGAGGCAGAAGCAATTGGTTTTGAGGTCAAGGAGAAAGACTGGGATGTGCTGGCTAATGCAGGGCTGGACAAAGTACAACTGAATTTTTTTCAGCAGCAGAAGTGCAAACCCTTTGCTGGGGTTACACAGAAGAGCAGGTGATTGCACCGGGACAGCAGCTGTGAATGTACACAGCAGAAGGCTGGTTCAGAGCTGCCACCTTCCCTCACACTTGTATGGCTTTCTAGTGCACTACTCTGCTCTGTGAACGACACCTCTAAGTGTCCAGGATTAAGCTGGGAAGAGTGACTACTGCTGTCCTAATGGATTTGAGAGGAGAGTCTGAGAACTCTTTCAGGCTTGGCTGAAATGGCATTCTGAGTTGAGAGCCCCTTTTCTCATTCAGACAACCTGAAATTGTGGCTTATAATTACTGTTGGATGCCTAGACTCCACATCAGGGCTACGTCTTGCTCATATGCAGACTTTCCTGGTGAGATCTCAGGAGTTAAGCATTGGGTCTGTAGTCTTTTGGCTCAAAGTCAGGGCACTCACTGCCACACCAGGGAATGCCTGAAAGGGGATTAATTATGGAACTTGTGGAAAGGTTAAGGCGAGAAGAAAACTACCCTCTTGACACTAGCCTGTTCCTGATTTGATATTTAGGCCTTGTTTCAAGCACTCTGCATTATTTTCTGCAAGGCTAGACAATGGATAGACAATGAGAGACACATAAATTTCACCTCACCAGTGTGAGGTGAAACCACAGGATACTCGTCTTTTAACTTCTGAAATTTCTTCAGAACAGTATGCATCCAGAACAACTGTGCAAAGTCACAGCCATCCAGGTGACAGCAGCAAGGGAAACTGATGGGCTATGAGATGAGTACTGCTCCTGGAACTATAAATCAGATGAGTTTCAACCCAGGGTATTTGATTTTTACCACAGTAAAAATCAGAGATGATAAAACAAAATCAGCTCATTGTATAGCTATGAGATAATCAAATAAAATGCACTTGTTATACAGATGTGCTGTAATGAATAGCTGTTTTTCTTACTGTTATCATCAGCATGACAATCTAAAGATAAAAGAGAGGTGACAAAGCCTGACTTTATTCCCCAGACTGAAAGTACAGGATGCAACATTCGTACATAATTGTAGCGTACACAAATGGACAACAAATTCAGGACGGTCTCATGCCTATTAAACTAATTTTAATGAGCAAGAGCCCATACAAGGTCAGATAATGGGTCCCTAATGACATAACACTTATGAGAACAGGATTGGATTTATCATTTTGATATATGAAAAGTGAAGATAAAATCCCACCAGACAGACAAAAGACAAGTGGCCTTGAGCGTTTACATCTTCACTGCTTCCTGTGTGAAGAAGTGAAAACGTAAGGTGACATCAGTTTCAAAAACACCAAGTAGGACTCCTAGTAGACTGACATTGAAGGGATGTCAGTCTGTTAGCCATAGTAAGTCAGCATATATATTTTCTAGTATGTACCACAGAGATCTGCTACAGCTTAGGATATTTAAATAAATGAAACTCTCTTACTTTGAATCGACTGTAGTACTCAGGTGCTTTAGATTGCTCTGTTTCTTCTGATTCTGCACACTGCGACTTCTGTTCTAATCCCTTGACTTCTTCAGCAGATGCTGGATCAGGTTTGGCTTCAAGGACAGACTGCAAAATGGTCTCCAGGGCATCAATCTGAACAATCATATTTGTCATGATAAGCATAAACAGTTTCAAAATACAATCTAAGTAACACAACTGTCATGTATTCAAACAACTTCCTGACTTCCCTTATTTGTCCAGGGTTGGTAAGCAGAAAAAAATTACTGCTTTAGTGTATTAGGCTGAGTTCTTTAGCCTGAAGCAAGAAAGATACCTCCAAAACCATATACCAAAAGAGGTAACTCAAAATGGTGGAAGTTGCAGACGTGACCTGTCCTTGTACTGTCATGTATTAGAGAGATGCTTCAGAATATGCAGCAATAGATAGCAGAACCTGCTGAGCAGTGCCCTAGCCTTTTATTTGTCAAGGGAGACTGCAAGCCTAGTAATTACATGAGCAAAAAGGAGGCTTCCATGACCAGGGACACCTTCCAGAAAAAGTACCCAATAGAGGAGGTTTTTATCCTTCAGCACACGCTGTGGTGGTTTCTTAAGTTACTCCTAATCTGAGTCCAGGATCAGTGTGATGCCCCGCAACATTCCTAAGCCTCAAGTCCCTTAGCCAGTGCTGACTTCATAAATGAACTGAATCTATCCATCCTTCCCAAATGAGGGCAGAACCTTCTAGAAATCACTGTCGACTTTCTGGACCAGTATCACTCAGGACATCGCCTCAGAGGGCAGAGGATACATAGGATTAGCTGTGAGAGTAAGAATATGTGGTATTTCATCCTCACAGCTAAGTACTATGTCTCTGAGCGAGTTCAAAAACCTGAGAAACAAAGGTGTCTTCCCACATCCACGGACATGCTCCCTGCAACACAGACCCATACTTAAATGGTCTGTGGCAATAACAAACACTCTTTGCCCAGGACATGCCAGTAGATATTATCACTGGCTCATCAACTGAAGCAGTGATTTTGTTAACTTCTCCTGTCTTGTAAAGGCCTCAGAAGTTTGCTGGGCATCTTCTCATTAGCAAGGCACAAAATTCACAGGTTTTACTGGATTTGACTTACACAAAATTCCATTTGTTCAGTGGGTTATTGCCTTCATACTTACAGCTTCTTTGCAGATTTTGCTGTCTCCTGACAATGAAGCCACATTCTCCATCACTTGCAAGGCTCTATTCAAATATCCAGGTGTCCACATTAGTGGCATTAGATTGTATACAGCTCTTAGTCCCTTATTCAACTCCACTTTTCCTGTGATAAAAACATCCTTTAGTGTTACTACTTCAACACCTGAATCTTAACAGAATCCGTACGGGTTGGCTCTGGTTTTCAGAAGCGACAGCAAGTGTCCTGGTTTCTAGGGTAAAAACAACACACTTCTATAAAGTTGCTCTGATTGAACTGCTTTCACCTTATTTTATTAAGGCACCTTTTTGCTAAACTTTATGGTTATTATGTGCTTGTTTCTGGTTCCTCTCCATTCTGCCTCATCTAGAAATTTTGTCCAGATGGAAATGAGACTAAGTGGGCAGCTTTTCTGGTTGCCTGGCTTTGGAACAGCAGCTCTGAAAAGGATGTCTGAAGATAGAAGAAAAATGCCTCCTTAGCTTTCAGGGACTGACTGTGGAGTACATGTATATTAAATCTGACTTTCTGGATTCACCTCCATGACCTTTAGGCTTTACTCACAGAATACAGCATATGCTCTGGCTAAGTATACAGCTTAGCACCCCTGTTTCTGCTGGAGCTTCCTGAGAGAAAATAGGGGAGACCTGCCAAAATGAAATTTTGATTTTTGATTTAGTACTATCTGTGCACCGAGGTGTTCACTGACTTTAGCAGGACCTGTGATGTACTGCATCACTGACAATGTGGCTTTTCTTCTGACAGTAACTACTAGAGAACAAGAAACTCCTTCCTAATAGAGGAATCGCACATCACACTGCAGTTGGTGCAATACAATGATTATCACTCTAAGGGTTTGATTTTGTCACTGTTGATGTAATAAATAATAGCCCTTCAAGTGCAGTTCACAGGAGTTGCACCCAAGCTCTTGATCTAATTTGTACTCTGGCTATAACACCACAAACCTATGAAACACACCTCACTCTTCTTAACATGGAAGGGAACAGTTTAGGACAAGCAAGGTAATAAGTGCACAGACAAAGTCTATAGACTGTGACTAAACTAAAATAGCTGAGGTGCTTGAGGCCAGTCTGTGCCCAGAGACATCTTTCGCTCTGTGAGAGGTCGGCTCCATTAGTGTTGGCAAGACTTTGGAATATGTGACATAACAGTAAATAGCTTTTGATTTACTGAATGTCAATGTCATGAAACAAGCACTATGGCTCACGGACAAGAGTGAAGTGCATTTTTGAAATACACTCACTACTCAACCAATCCATACGACATTAAAAACTCTCCAATGTGAACGCCAACTGGACAGCAAAGTTCCTATTTATATCAGTATCTCCGCTGGACTACAAACTACGGCTCTACGGAAAATCCTGCTTTCAAATTAATTTTCACATTTATTCCCCTTTTTGACTGAAAATAAGATTTTTGTTTTAGAGAAATGATAAATGCGAGTCAGCACCCTAACTCTGCCACCACACATCATATTTTGAGGTCACATTTTAAGAAAAAAATCCACTTTTACCCTCAATAATGCAGTAATGGATCAACAATTTACAATAAATTGTAAATTAATTAATTTCTTTCTAGTAAATAATAATTTTATAGAGAAGGACAAAACTATCTGCATTGTATTCCTCTAAAGGTTTAGAGGAAATTCAAGAATTACTTGCCCATTCCCCTTCTCTTCAACTCTGAATATATTCTGATCTAACTTCTCTTTAATAATACAGCAAGTCATTAGCAGTGAAGACTCCTTAACAGATCCAGGATAAAGGCACTATTAACTGCTGTCCACAAGCCAAACATTAACTTTACAGTGAGTAGTAAATGTTCTAAACATAATGTTTTTCAGACTGTGCTCTCTGAACTTCCTAAGGTTTAAAGATTATTTTAAGACACTTAATAACTAGAAAAAAAACCTAATTGTCTTTAACCTTAAATTTGTGTCATGGAAATCTGTACTTCTGGGGTATTTTTTTAAATTCATAGGTCAACCAAGAAACCAATCCTGTGTTCTTTAAGAATGTCTTCTTTCTTTCAGCTGCCAATCCAAACCTGCAGGGAGCCCTGAAGTTGGTTCTGAAGTTGTCTGACAAAGGGCATACTATTCAAATCAGTCTTACAAATGAGGCTTACAAAACAGATTCACTCATAACTCTGAAATTGTCCTTACACTATTTTTTTTTTTTTTTTACTTTTGTGTTCTCCTTGATTACACTTTACAAAGCAAAGATGCCCATTTTATTAAGCTGCTGAAGACAAGAGGGAAAAGATGACTGAGGGAGGTGAAACTTACCAAGGAATGCATAGCCATACAGCTGGGAGCTAAAACCCACAGTGCTATTTTGCTTTAGACCCGCAAGCACTAGCGATGCTCCAAGATTTCTCTCCTCTTCCCACTGTAAATAACGTAAACTAAGTAAGCATTCCTTAACAAACACACACAAAAAATGGCAGCAAAGACAGCACATGGCTTTCATCGGATGTCTTAGCAATAAAGAATCATTAAATGTGCCCAGTGTTCAGTTACAGGAGCAGTACACATTATATGGAGGAACACCTCTTCCCAGAAGACTGTAAAATGTGAGTGGTTGAGATTTTGCATGGAAGTCAATCAGTGCATTTTCTTCAGGACAATGGATTACACTGATTTACAATGGTCAAGCTCCGTCTCTGTCCTGTATGTCCTACAACTTGCTTCAAGCTAGCATTGCTGAAGAAAACCATTACATGGCTTCTCTACTACAGCAGCCTTTTCTTTGAAGTATGTGGCTAGATACACGCTCCACTACCCCTCACTAGAATACGAAAATGTTGAGAGAAGAATATGCAGCTAATGGCTACTTTGAGTGCAAAACCTGCTCTGCGAAAAGAGCATGTGCAACTCACCAAGACCCCTCCATGCCACAGGATTAAAAGTACAGCTGTCTCTCCAGCTACAAAGATGGACCAGCTGTCTGGCCAGGCCACCAGTGATGGCTAAAGAAAGGTGTCCTATCAGTGTGCTAAAACCATGAGAGTAGTGTACATTTTATTTAGCTTTTTCCACAGCACAGTGCATTTTTCATGACCAAGCAAGTGAAAGGAGCATTATTGCAAGTGAAAGGAGGTGAACAACTCCCATGGTTAAGAAAATGAGGAACAGAAAGCTACAGATTGGAGGAAGTCTGACTATGGTAACACATGGTTTTTGTGACAGGGTATTTAAATGTCTTGTTGATTACCTTACGAACTGAAAGAAATGTCCCTGGCAAAGGGAAAAAGCTTTCTGAAAAAACCCTTGAAGCACACTGAGTCTTAAAAAAAACACAAAAGTTTGATATTCTGGTTTTATAGAGTTGTCTTTTCCAGATATGGCATTTTTTTTTGTGTGTCTCCATTCGGGTGCTACAAGAATTTGCATGTTACCATCTGACACAAAATACCACCACCTGACAGCCAGGCAAGGTATTTGCCCAACTCAGAAAAAGCATACAAGGGAACAGGGCTGTTTTGTGCTGAATTCAGCACTCCAGGTGAATGTTATAAGAAAATCAGATGCAACTAGAAAAACAGGCCTTTTACCAGCCTAGGTTCTTCTGGGAGCTAGTGGAACTGCTTTGTAGTAGAAGGCAATCATACTGATTATTTGCAACTGTCAAGGAGGAAACTTTCTGGGGAGAGCCAAGACCAGTCAGGCTTTCAGACCAGTCAGGCTTTCAGTGGTGTGTACAACAGTAGAGAAATGGAAGCTCCCTAACACCACTGCTATACACACTAAGAACTAATACAGTCAGATTGCCCAAATTTTAATTCTCAAAGTTAAAAAAACATTTCATCAGGCTGCTGGACCGCAAGCTAGAGCCAAGGACCTATCTACAACAGGACGCCGGTAGACTTGTCTCACACCTTGGGAAAAGAAAATAAAATGGGATTTTCAGGGGTAGCTGGGCATTTCTCCTTACTCTCTCTGCTCCCACTTCCTAAATCTATCACAGAAAATTGGTGCTGACTATCTTGAGGATTTAAATGGTGTCTACAAATAAAAATACTGTTTCATTGCTGCCTTTGGATGGGGTTATTTCAAAATACATATTAAATAAGTCACAGCTATGTCAATACACTTGCCTTTAACATGATGTATATTCACACCACTCTTGCTTGTACATTCAGCTTTCATGAAACACATGTACTGACAAACGCTTGTCTCTGCAGTAAGGATGTGGATGCAAAGAGCGTAGACAAACACACTAGGAAAATGACATTTTCATGCCTATGCTTTTCATATTCAAGTGACTGAGCATACTTGATTTCTGCGCAATGAAGGAGAATATCCGACAGGACAAATGCACATTTCTTTTCTTTGGTGAAAACTGAAATTACAACCCAATTGGGAAAACTTTAAGATACTTGTAATATGCATTTTGGAAGATGGTTCATGTAAGACAAATGGAGGCTTCAAGCATATTCCTTATGCATGACAACATGCTATTGAAAACTTGTGCCAAACTACATGAAAAGTAGTTCCCCAAAAGTGATGGGCACTGCAGAGCCCTTTGCTGACTGAGCCCCTTCTACAAAGGTAGAATAATGCCAGTTCCAAGACACTGACCTGTCATTTAGGCCTCAAGCAAGCAAGCTGTGAATAATAAACCCCTAATCCTAGGAGACAGGAGGGGTATAGCAAATTTAGTTTTAAAACAAATACATTTAAGGAACCATACACCCAAAGCCAAGCGGGATACTAGAAAACCTAGTGAAAATGCTCTGCAATTCTACAACACTAGCATTATCAAGCTCTAATGGTGAGCAACACTCAGCTTAACAGGGTCCTATACAATACGCACCATAGTTTTTTTGTGGTAATTGATAAGAGTCTGCTTTGAACTATTATTTCATATCCTTCAAATACACTACATCAGAAAATCCCAACACACCTTCCCTTCCAGAGAAAGGAGCAAAAGGCCTGACAACTGATTTGATGGCTTTCCTACTTCGGGGTTTTTTTTTCCTTTCTTTCTTCTGCAGTTGTAAAAAAAAAAAGGAAAACTATGGAATATTATTTTTTCTGGTAAAGTTAGGGGAAATAAAATATATTCATGATTGAATGCCCAACTGACTACATCATAACACTTAGAAGCAGAGGCTTTGTGTATCATTTCAAATGTGGTCAGCTTACCTCATAATCAGACTTGGTTGCCAGATACTGGTATAAAACATATAGAGAAAGAAGCTGTGTTGATAATTCATCAAAACTTTCTTGGAGCATGATCTCTGTTACTACTGACATAGCATCTATGGAGGAAAACAATATATAATCAGCACAGTTCCCAGCACACAGCTGCCTTTTGTACCCACTTACTGTTCACTCATGCTTTATTGCCGTAGTATGCTTTGAAATAGTTAGGGAGAAAGTTAAACATTTCTTACAACTAGAATACAACTATAGAATTAGTCTTATTCATTACAGTTATTCAAACACGCTGCAAGAAGGAAGAACAGGCTGATAGCATGAAACTACAGCAAAGGAGCTCTCAAAATCATCTTAGCTCTACGGTCTTCAACTGGCCCTTCTTTGCTCAGCTCTTCAATTATTAACATTTAAAAAAATATTTTAAAATTATTTCTTTGGTTTTGTGTTTTGATTACAGACAAGAGAAGACTGGCTTAACTTCACTACCCTTAGGGTGACAGGAGAGTACAAAGGAACAGAAACGTTGTCACAGATCATCCAGAGCAGTCTCTGTATTCAGCAAACAGTGCTCTGGAGGAGCTCCGCAGGGAGTTCCAGTGACACTCCCTGTCAGAAAGGACAGTTTGTTAAACAAAAGGCCTTGAGCCTCACACAGAAAAGAAGTATGGATGAAATAAGGGGGAATTCAAAGATGGGGGTGTGTCTCAAAATAAATACATGTAATAATTTGCCATTTAGCATAACCTTCAGGATAAAAGCTGTTGTTCCTTTCAGTTATTTGTTTTACAAGAACTTTAGGCAAAGGAAAGCTTACTGTAGGTCTATAGTTCTAGAATATCTGAAGTGAAATTAAAATCTTTAATATGTCATCAAACACAAGAGGATTAGTCATCTGAACATTTAAACAGTCAGTAGTGAGATGCAGCCCCGATACGACAATTCAGCATAGCTGGCTTGCTCCAGTGACAGAGAGAAAGCCTAGACAAAGTTTAGATACACAGCTTTTTGAACAGCTGAATGTATGGAAGATGAACTCTACCAATATGCATTTTGATTCTGGTAATATTCTAAATAATTGTCACTAACAACCCCTGTGATGTTATTAGAACATAAATCAGACTAGTAAAAACTTAGGAAGATGGTTTACATTTGTAATAGGATTAATAACACTAGAAACTGTGAATCTTAGAGGCTTCAAAATTCTGTAATGAATAAAAACCCAACAGAAATGAGACATAAAAATGTAGAAAAATAGTTTAAAGGAAGGAGAAGGCATATTTCACTGTGACTTCAGAAAAAAATATGGTTAAAAGCTTTTAATTCAAAGAAAGGCTCTGCAAATATAAGAGCATACAACAGAAGATGCAGTACAGGTACAGCATATTTTCTTACCTTCATATTTCTTCTGCTTTATAAAACAATCCAACAAAATATTGAATGTAAAATTATCTGGAAAAATTCCATACTGAACCTAAAGAGAAGAACGAAGAAGTTCAGTGTGCAAATGTGTTGTCCAAATCTTCCCAACCACAGCCCTACATGTATTAGAAAGACCAGAACCATGGCGCTGCACACTGCTGCAATGTACAGTCAAGCAACACAGGGAGATTAGTATGCCTCCTGTGATGTAGGCCTTCCAGCTTTTGATGCACTGTATTTGTTTTGGCATTTTATCTGAGCCTTTGGAACCAAGAATGGCATTGTCTGTCATGTTTTTATGCCTCTTCTGCATCTACCATGTTTTGGACACCAATGCTATTTAAAACCAAAAAGCTTCCTGGGAAAGATGAGGATTTAAAAGCTGTAAAGAGACAGAGCTAATTCAAATGCAACATTAATTTTTATTTTGACAAAGAAATATCTGAACTTAAAACCACAGTCTACAGGACCTGGCTGCAACAGGAATTCCAGTCAAGCCACACTTGTCTCAGAAAGCTAATCAAACATATTCATGCTTTTCCTCTGTAAATCTTACCTTGTTTTTTAATGTGTATAAGGCTTTGTCTTGAGCACCGTATTTCAAACACTGTCTGATCCAGCTGTGGATGGTCCAGTCTCTCAAGTACCAGCAATTTGGACTATGACGAAACCTAAAAGATGATAAACAGTTCAGGTGACAACACAACTCTGTTACCACAGAAACAAATTCTGTAACCAAAAAGCTGTGAGTTTCAAAACCTCATCATTCATTAACTTAGATACAAATCTCTGTTTGCTTTTGCAGTCATTTATTGCTCTCTAAAGAGTTCCAGAGAGCCCTTTCAAGTAAAAGAAACGAAAGTTTGACACACTAACAGTATGTATAAAGGGGAATCTGACCTTTTCAGAAATGCAAAATATTTTAAACTTCTCACTTTCCAGAAAGGCTACTGCTTTTCTCCTGAAAACGTGAATACCATAACATAATAGCTTGGTGTATATATATATGAAGCCCAACTGAGATTGCTATAAATACAATAACCTTGTCCTTGTGATTCTATAACATCGTATTATTGCTGGTCTTGTCAAAGAGACAATACTGATGATATTCGCAAGTATCAGAATTACATCAAAACATAACTGAGTCTGAAACTTTGGAGCCTGTGTAATCTGGTCGCTCCTACCCTCTCTACCTCTTGCCTCACTTCACCGCTTAAGAAATCATTATGCCTCAACACAGGTCATCCCTGGGCTGCTTGCATGCTCCATTTGCCTTAGGAACCTTCATCAGTGAGGTAAACCTCATGCAAGGGGAAACTCTGCTGAGAGCCCTTCCCTGCCCCTCTGCACTGACACCTACTCTGACACATCTCATGTCATGGCTTCAGCAGTATTGCCAGGCAACCTGCTCCAGCGCTCGATCAATTTGTAAATTGAATACCTTAAAGTTCAGCCTCCTTTATTTCATCCTTTCATATGCACTTTGCTCTGCATTTGGAGAAGTGGTGACAAAAAGCACATGGAGCTTTAACTTTGGCCAACACTCAAACACCAATTAAGAGTCCAATGTTAGAAATTGCTGCCTTGGTCCTGGGCTGAATTTCACACCCTAGTGTGAAGAGATGCATGCAATGTTTCTCAGTTCGATTTGTATGCATGAAAAATAAACTCAGTTCCCAGCACAGAAGCGACTGCCACTTCCCTAGGAAATGCCAGTGACTGAACTGAGCTCATGTGCAGATGCTTGCAGCTCCAAGCCAAGCTGCAGCACCATTTAGAGGCAGGGCTGACTCTTCCATCTGAGTGAGCATGCTTTCCAGAACGTTTATCAGATTAACGTGGCCACCAACTCCCTGTCCCCCTCAGTAAATCTCTTGCCTATTGCTGAGGGCTACACAGATGACCAAGCCTGGAAAAGTACTGCAGCCCCAAGAGCCTTCAGAATGAAGGAGACATCTATGCCAAAAGTGGAGCTAGATCACTACAGAGTCTAAATATATGGCGTTTTAAGTGGCACACGAAATCTCCCCACTAAATTAGAATTTAATAGAAAAAGAAAAGCATGCTTTGAATATTAAATTACAAGCATCCACTTTGTTGCTGTAATTGCTTTCCATTTTCTTCCCTCTAGAGTTCAAACATACATTTGCTTTCAACAAAATCCTGTTATCAATAATTCTTAAAGGAAGCATCAATTACAGGAATTTGGATTTAATCATATTTTGATGAAAAAAATTATCTAACTGCTACAGACTGTTTCACCAGCAGTTTAAGAAGGGTCAAACTGGAACACCAGCACTCAGCAATAAAGCTACTAGCTTTTTAAAGTTTCATTAAATGGTTAATATTGTTTCACAAGAGGAAAACAAGACTCACCTTTCAAAAATCATGACACTGATGCTCTCAAATACCTAGGCCTTTCTTTTGATAAATTCTTTGCAGAAGGAAAGCAAGCAGGCAAAAAACCAACCAACCAACCAAAACCAAACAAACACAGCCAAAGATTTTTAATGGGTTTAAATATTCAACTCTATGCAGAGCTCTATTTATTCTCTTGAGTACACCACAGTGAGAGAGAGCATTCCAATACCTCCTGCCCCTTGGGATTGCTATAGCTTACTGTAGTGATGAAAAGCTTCTAGGTTTAAAGTCAAATTGCACTTGGACAGAAAAAGGCCTAAGGGGGATGCAATGCGGTCTAGAAACAGAATGAAACTGATCCTCAATCAACACTCATTGCAGGAATTGACATGCACAAAATTCAGTGGCATGTTATAAAAACTCTTTAAAAATCTGCACAAGCTTGGTGGGACTGGGAAAGATTTGAGTGTGCATGTGTATGGTGACCCATAGGATCTCTCATATATAATTACTGCATGTGTTACTATTAGGATTTTATGCTCAGACCAGGCCTCCATTGCACTAAGTGCTATGCAAATAAAAAGCAAATAGCTTCTCCGCCAACTAGTTTTCTAGTTAATTCTAACAATCAATTACAAAGCAGTTCCGTGGGAATGAGGAGAAGGGACTGGTGCAAGAATGCAACATATAGGCATGTACAAGATCCCTCAACTCTAGACACTTCCATTAATCCATGATGTAGGAGAATTGGAAGTGAAAGGGAAACAAGTACGCTGCAATCTTTGACTGTTTCTGATCCATTTAAGGCTGAGATAAGCTCTGTCTCTATTCTGATAGCTGAGAAAATAAACCAACAGTTATCTGGCTTTACAGTTGGAATCAGGGAAAAGAAGAGGTGGCTCATCATTTTGACAAGTATTAACATCTTCCTCCTTCTCTTTATCCACAAAACAGGATATAATTAAGCAAGGCAATATGTTCAGGGACAGATGAAAAGAAAAAGGAAGCTTAAACTACAGAAAGCAGAGGATTCAGAATGAATTAAATAAAGGATGCCTCTAGCAATTGCTGTGTATTTAATGGAAAAACCAGAAGGTTATCTTGCAGATGCCTGATGCTGAAACTCATTTTTCTTAAAACTAATAAAAACCCAAGAAGCACAGGATTCTTATAATGTGTTCAGAAAAAACAAGGAGAAGCAACTGTAACAGTATTAGGGAAGCTCTCTGTTGGTACACTTCGATATTAATGGCTGAAGAATCAATACAGTCATCCTTCCAGTCACTGAGCTGAGAACATCTGCCCCCATAGGAAACAAGAAGAAGAATATCTGTAATACAAGAAGATCCCAAAATATCAAGGTGATGGTGAATCTAACAGCATATAACGCAGTGGTTCTAGAATTCTCCTTATATTGAGAAGTTGATGCAGTCCAGAAGCTCAGTTTTCACTAACAGTTGCTTTGTACTCTTGCAAAATGATTATAACATGGAAGAGACACAGTGAGTCTACTGCCTCAGTACAAGGCAACCACAACATTTTTACCCAAGCAAGAATACTCTCTTGCTCATAAACTGGTCAGCTCCTTGGGCTAAGAATACATTGTCTGTTTACTAAGTTCCTGCATGAAGCCCTATTGCTTATTATCTACAACAGTGCTGAGGTACTCATGCTGTGTGAAAGAAACTGAAAAATGGAGAAGTTTAACAGAGGCTGAGAGTGCTTCATGTAGTGCTGAACTACTACAGCAAGTATGACTTACTTATATTGGTGCCCTCACACACTGCAGAAAAGCTGAGTTCCTTCCCTATTTACTTCAAAGGTTCTTTCAATTTTATTTGGTGCCATCAAGTGGTGATGCACTCTTGTGCTGCTTTCACCCACCTTGTGTTCCCAAGGGAAGTAATACAGCAACCCTGAGCACAAACAGAAGCACCTCTTGCTGGATCATACTCTTTTCTGTACATTGTGGAAGGGAGTTCACTGCTCTGGGGGCAGTCACAAATGAGGAAGACATCGAAGGAAAACTTGCTGGAAGAGAAAGTGCTGCAGAAGTAATATACTACCAGGAAGAGGTCTGCTGTTCTCTTCCTGGTAGTACAGAGGGAAAGCCAGCTCAGCAGATCAGTTCCAATTCTTTGCTGATCAGAAGTTCCATTTTGTGCTCTGTGGCTTTCTTAAGGGCTGATCCAATTCCTTGTATCGCCAGAGGCTATCCTTGTACAAGACACTATTTTTTCTCCTCCCCTTCCTTTCTTCACATTTACCTGACCTAATGAGAAAGTACCTTGTAATGATACACATACCTTAACTTCCAATCTCTCTTACTTCTTTTAGAACTAGGGAGAAATATGGGTCTGCATGTTCATTTGCTTTAATCAGGAGGAGAAGAGTGCCAGATTTCTTCTCATTCACACAAAATTATAAAAAGTCCCAAAGCAAAATGTAATGAGACTTAAAATGAATAAATACAGTAGGAAATACCTCTGCAAGCCAGGAAGAAGCTCTCTCAAGGGAACAAATCCAAAGCAACTCCACATTTTACACAAGTTATACAGAGCTGAGAAGCTCCCTTGCAATGCATGTTTTTTTTCTTCTCAGGCACATTTTTTAAGCTACAGTGCATAATGATCAAATGGATTCCAGGCAGACTTAACCTGGAAACTGGAAGGCTGTCACCCAAAACTCTCCTTTTGTCTGTCATTTTAAGCCACAGGCCTTGGGAAAAATCATCTGCATTTTAAATGAACCCAGAGGTATTACTCATGTGTCAGTGTCAAAGGCAACAGCCCTGAAAAAACAATCATTATTGACCAAAATTTCCTTTTAAACACGAACAAAACCTCTATTTTTCTATCTATTCTTTGCCTGCACCTTACTCTTCAGCTTTCTTTGTATAAATCCTTTCTAAAATTTAATGTACAAACCTATCAGCCCTATAGGAAATACCTCACACATTAACCCCCTTCACTCAAAAACAGAGGGAGCACTTTGCTTTTGTGTTAAAAGAAAAAACTCAAGTAGAATACATACTATAAGAAATTAATTATCAAAAGCAGTAATTGGACAGGTTAAAAAATTAGACATGTCAAGTATAACAGAGGGTAGTCTCATGCTGAGGTGGAATTTTACACAAGCAGAGAACTGGTTTGCAGACTCCCTGGAAAAAAAGCCCACATACAATCCCTATTCTATTTTAATTTTTATTGACTTTCCCCCATCATTTATTTTGAACTAATTTACTCAATTGCTTTGATGCTAAAGTTAATTCTTCTGAATTAGATTCCATCTCCACATGAATGTGTATTTT